GTAATAACATATCAATGTTTGACATATTAATGGATTTCCAAACGCAATAGTTTAGTCGGAATCTTTAACGCATGCAAGCATGTACATTTCAGAAGATTCAGACTTCAGAATGGAGTTGTGTTCCTTCAAAGTGCAATATGGCTGTAACAAAGTGTAATGTGGCTGTCGCATGCGTCAAATGGCAGTGTTCATGCCTGTAATAAATCTAAATATAAAGTCTTTCAACTTATAAACACCGACATTTGACATACGAGGGGCGGTCAAAAGGAATTTTTTATTTGTTTCCCATTGCACAACCGTATATGCTACTGAACTGCCAACCATATTCAGTGTAAGGTTTGGTATCTGCCGCCATGTAGTGGTGTAGTGGTGCACAAGGAAGCAGACCACAGGGGCAATATCCAGACTCTGGTCAGACAGTCCAATATCGCCCCTACTCCCATAATACTGCCCCAAACAGTTATTGGTTATTTGCTAGCTTTAAGGTGCCTTTGTGGGCCATATTGCAATCTGAAGTCTGAATCTTCTGAAATGTACATGCTTCCATGCGTTTAAGATACAGACTAAACTATTGCGTTTGGAAATCCATTAATATGTCAAACATTGATATTTTATTACTCAATGCAAGCATATAATAGAAATACCGACATTTATGAGTCAAATGTGAGATATGCATAGGTCTGGTTGTTTAACCAAGATTCCCATCGTTGTAATTTCAGTCATATCTTTCGTTTCGGAATTTGCGGAATTCAAAAGTTCAAAAAAACACACAGAACTGAAAAGTAAAAGTAACAACGCGAGCAATATATCAATGGAATGCGCTTGGAGATATCTCTCATTTGATACTAGTTACAAGTTTATATCTTGTTTCAAACGGGAAGTACGAATCGCCAAAGATGGTGAAAATAGGCTATTTTGGACTTTTCAAATTTAAGTTTAAGTTGCTTCAAAAACGTAGGAAGTTGAAATTTAGATATTGAATTACAATTGTCTTAGTCTACAATGTTGTGAAAGGTCGTGGTGTTACCATGCATCCTAGTGCTAATAATTTCCGTGCAAAATTCAGCAATATTTACCATTTTGGAAATTGCGTAACTCAATTTGTAATAAATGCATTAGAAAATGCATTTAATAATACGATTTTCCATTGTCTCAGCTTCACTTAGAGTCCAAAAACGCGTTTCTAGCTCGACTAGGACCAAAGATAGCGCTTTAACCCTAAAGGGCACTTTTCCTCTTGGGTGCGATGTTTCGGGCCGCATATCTCGAGATCCGTTTGAACCAGAGAGCGAAAATTTGGGATTTTTTCATAAGTCTTGATCGCCAACATGCAATAATTTTTTCAAGCAAATCGGAGTCTGAAGCACAACCACCCCTTGAGCTGGAATGCCTCAGTAACTTTTCCCTTTGAAAAAGTAGTCAGATTACCAAGGATCACCATTACGCTTGGCGAAAAGTATACCGTCACTTTCACGGTTAACTGTTAAATGTACTCCGATTGCAGTAACGCATCACTTTCCCAACACCAGTGGCATCACGTGATATTTCGCGCTTGTTTCCGTCTATGGAGAGGGGGTACGCAGGAGGGTAGGAGGGGGGGGAGGGCATTGCCTACCTCCGAACCATAGACGACACTCTAGCGCTGAATATTACGAGCTGCCACTACCCAACACGCGCCCTCTCATCTCGTCTTGGCAGAGTTATCTCGGTGAAGACCGAGTTTCTCCGGCAAATTTCGTAAATTCGTTTTGTTGTTGATGAGATCCTCGCTACGATCGTTCATAGAAATCTGCGTGTGTATTTGTCTGCGCAAATCATGTCAGGATGAATGCGTATGATGATTTTCACGCTTCCATCAGCTTTCTTGGAAAAACTCTCTGGTTATAGTTCCGAAAATAATTCACTTTACCATAGTTAAGCGCATTTAATTAAACCCAAGAACATAAAATGAATAAATGTTCTACTTGTGACAATTTAGCGAAACTTGCTTTTAAGTGATTTGATGTATACTTATATTTTGAAGCATTCGTAAGGTTTACCTGTCAAAGTAGCTAGACCGATGATCACGAAGGCAAGCAGCAGCTTCACCCGCATCCTGTCCACTTCTAGGAAACCATCAAAATCACGATTAGCAAACCCATGTCCACGATTCAATCATTTTAAAGTCTCATTTTGTTGTACCAGACCGTTCTTGGTGGCTGTTGCGTAGAGCGCTAGAAGAACCCTGCTGGGGAAAGATTCGTCCTGAATAGGGAGCAAAATACTCTTAAAACCTGTCGGGGAAAGGACTTGGATGGAGCAGAAAAGGAAAGGATGTCCATGGACATGTGAAACTTCTGACGGTCTCTCCTTTACTTGATATTTTATTGATAGAGACAGCCCATTCGGACTCAAATTTAAGGAAAATGAATGAAGCTTGTTGGAAAACTATTTGAGGCAAAGAAGTCTACCCTTTCATTTACTCTAAGCGGTTAGAAGGCTCATTTCTGAATTCTTGAATGTCTATCCAGAGACAAAAAATGTAAACAGGAAGTATTTTTGCTCGTGTTGCAATCCTCAAAATTGTCATAAGGTTCATTGAAGGAGATGTGCATTTCTCTTGAAAGAGTAAACAAATGCGCTTGAAGTTATTAGTTTTCTAGGAGATGTGGAAATGGGGGGCCACATTTACTTTCTAGTTGTGTAATTTCTTGGCAGGAAAAATCCTCTCGGAGCAATGAAATCGACACGTTGGAATTAACTTTCACTGGAACAGAAGCACTTGCAGTACACGAAGGATGGACGGTCCTTTGCAAACTGAAGAATATCGGGTCATGCATTCTTATGTGCGCTATGCAATTATCTGCAATATCTATGACGGGGATCCCCTTTCCTCGGCCTTGTCGCATGTTGTCCATGCGTCTCCTGGATACATCCATTGACGGTCGATGCAGAGTGCTGTTCGCAAGTAACATTGTTTGTACTATAGAGCGGGGACTAAAGAAGCCTTTCCTAGAAAATCATGCTGGAAGTCCTACTAAGGGCAATCGTCCTCAGGCAATCGTCTGTTATCTCGGAATCTTGCAGAATTTTTCTGATTTCCTTGCGTTCTTGTCGCTAGGAAAACATTGGCATATACATCTTAGTTTTTTCATTATCGCAAATGTCCCAGAATCGCTACATTACATGGTCGGATCATATGTATGTGGGATCGTCACAACGAATTACTGTTGCGGTCAGTGCGCTAACCATCATAATTAAGAAAAATGGAGCAAAGAGAGGATCGAAGCAATTGAATCCCAGGCAGCACACCATGTTGGACCCACGTTGGCGTGAGTGGGGGAGAGTGGGCCAAAATCGGTGTGGACTGTTCATGTAGGCTCAACTTCGGCGCTATCGCGGCAGCCAACATTCGTACAATCTGCTTGGGCGACATCTATCTCAGTGATTCTAACAAGCAAGGTTCCCACACATTTTGCGACTTTGCTAGCATAAAATTCGATATCTCAAAGCATCAAGGATTGATCCACTATTAAGTTCTCTGCACATTTCATGCGGTATCCGATCTTTTCCCAACGACAACGTAGGCGAAGACACTCAAATTCCTCAATGGATTTACTTAAACAAAGTAAACAATCCAGGGGGACTCCCCGCAATTGTGGAAAAAGATAAGTTCAAATAGGGGACCTGACGACTGTGGCGAGGATAATTCATTGAGGGAAATGCGTCGGGCTCTCCTTCGGGTGGTGTAGATCTGGATGTGACTCGTACATTAAAAGACCCCAAAGGATCTCTCCGTACAAGGACTTACGGAGCGAGAAAAGAACTAGATGAGCGATGGATGAAATCCAAATTGAATTCTACTCCCTTATGAAATGTGAATGCCTCAGAAGGAGGCAATCGAGGGGCATGCCTACAAGGGCTCAACTGTGGGCTCACATCGCACTTCCGGCAAACCAATGTATTACTTAAGTTAGCCCAACGCGAGTGTGCTGCCTGGGATAGAAACATCAAAATCAGTCTTACCACTGTTGTTAATCCCCTCCCAGATTAGGAGAAGTCACTCAGCAATTCAAATGAATTCAACGATTCATTTTTCACGTTAGAAGCAAGATTCCTGAATAAATTGCATGTAGTCCTCATCCACAGCGTGCGTGTGTGACTTCGGGTTTAGGAGGCTGGCGTTTGGTAAACTTTTATGCCCGATATCTGGCAACAAATTTACTCATGATATTTACAGGGATAGAGGGAGCAGGTAACCTGTCCTATCTTCATAACAATCACAGAAGAAATTCAGTTTTGGGTGAACTCGGTTCCTTTCAGTCGGCAATCTTGAGGACATTGTCAAGCCAAAAACCTTCCGTACCAAACAAAGTATCGTGTGGGACCACGCCCACAAAAGCAAAGAGCCACGACATAAGGTGTGCTCAGAATCTCCCGCAAAGTCATGAAGCTTACTGTATCTTGCCCTCCTCTTAAAAGCTACTCTTACTCATGACCTTACTTTTCCTCAATATACCTTTCCTCACATAGTGAAAACGGGTTCTAAAGAACGTTTGAGTCATCTAGAGAAAGCGTTCTACTTCGTGAAATTGCCATCGACACCTTAAATGACGCTTAATTGACACCTGATGGTGAGAGTCGATTTCATCGAACGAAATCTTGCAGAACGAGAGGAATTATCAACGATGATACTACGATTTTTTAAATTCGTGTATGGTATTAGTCGATCATCAGCGAATGCAGTGAATGCAACAAATGAAGGTATGAGTGGAGCACCTTAACAAATAAAGCAAGACAATTGTACTCTTCCTTTATATAAAAATATATAACAGTATGATATTTTCGTGGTGCAAAACACGAAGGGAGATAAATGCCGAAATCTCCATAAGAAAGTGACTGCACGGAAAGAGTAGGGACTCCCGAGATCCACTCGTCATCTCCTTTTGTTATGAAAATAAAAACATACGACGATCTCATGTATATCCGACCAACATGATGGAGAGGCAGGGTATCACCATTCACAGTAGGTCCCGAGGAAGGAAGCAGCCAGTAAGAGCGTGAGGAAGGCGCGATTCCTTCCATCCACCCTCCCCCAACGCTTCCAATGTTCGGACAGGAGTGGCGAGACCCTTCCCGCCGCCGAGGGCGATAACCCGGTCCTGCGTATCTTTCACCAGGCCGAGACACCACCTTGGGGTACGGAGACAGGGCCAGGGGGAAGAAGAGGACGTTTCCCATGCTCTCGCCCTCAGATCGAAGACTCTGACCTCGGAGGAGGCTTTATCCCGTTTCTTCCCTGTGATTCCACCAGCGACTATGACTTGCGTCCCCTTCCACACTGTCGCCGCTGCCGCTACCGCCGGTTCCGGCATGTCCGTGAGGGGGTCGTATCTCTTACCCTTGCGCGGGTCAAACACATATGCCGTCTTCAACACTTTATTCTTCCTTCCATCCCTTCCACCGATAATGAGGAAGGAGCCATCTTTAAGAGCCGTCCCTGCTGCCCCGTACATCTTCTTCGGGAGATCGGGCAGAGAAAGCCAGACCCCTCCTCCCACCTCGGGAAGAAACATGGCAGCGTCCGACAGAGATCTCTTCCCGTCTCCCGACCTTCCCCCAAAGAGATAGAACCCTTTCCCAGGCACGGTGCATGGTACGAGGCACGTTGACAAGGAAACGTGGAAAGGTGAGGAAAGAAAGGGAAGAGAGGAGATGGACCGATCATCTGGGAGACTCCAGGACGTTTCTCCGTCCACTTCCACGACGAACGTCTTCTTCCGAGCGAAGAGGAAGACTCGGTCTGCCATCCCTCCCCAGCACGACCCCAAGCCCCCCCACAGTTTCACCTCTTCCCCGTCGCTG